CCCCGACCACCCCACTCAGGGGGTGACAGGTGGAGGGCACCAGGCACCAGGGGACAGGCCAAAAATCCATGACTAAAGCTGTCTGCTTGTCTGTTTGTCCATTTGATTTTGGGGACAAGCTCATGATATTGGGGGGGGGTCTGGCTGGGGGCGGTGCACTTTTGGGGTTGCTGAGTGAATGGACATAGCCGGGGGGGGTCGCTGGGGTGCCTTTCCGGGCAGGTTGAAATCCAGATGCTCCCAGGTCCCACGGCCCTGCATGCTGACCCTTGGCAGTCACTGGAAAGGAGGCGCAGTGGGGACCAGTGTTCCCTCTAAGCTGTGTGCTTGGGCGGCCGCCTGGCAGAGATTCAGATGCCACCCAGCTGATTAGCAGAGCGCCCACGGGAGGGGATTAGCAGAGCTGCACACAAGGGAGAAGCAAAGTGAAATGCCCCTGCCTGAGGAGAAAGACGCTCCCCATATTCCCCTCACACACCAGAGCCTAGAGGGGCCCAGGCTGGTAGATTTTGTGTGCTCCAGCCCTGCGGGTGGATGGCTGGGGGGCTGGAGCACCGGCCCGGGCTCCCCCATGCTGCGCCTCAGGGGCCGGATCCAGGCCACGGGCCTGAGGTTCCCCACCCCTGTGTTAGTGCAACGGTTCATCTGCAACCTTGCAATAGGTAAGCAGGTGTCTGGCTGCATCGGCCTAGGTTTGCACATTGTCATGGTTGCTAGAGAGTTCAGGCTGTTTGGAATTCCCTTCTCATTCTGTCCCCTCTGCCCCAATACATCACAGCCGAGGTGGGACTTGAGGACTCGAGTAGTTCTCTAGGGCGTGTGAATCCTTCTGTGTCCCTGGCCACTTCTCTGGGTCTCATCCCTCCCCCCATCTTGAAAACAGGGAAAATAATTGTGTAGGAGGCCACCTTGCCCCACGTGTTCATTCCTTATGCTTCATTTGTTCTTCCCTGTCCTATAGCGGAGCTCTGAGGAAGAGCTGGGTGTGAGCTCGGAAGCTTGTCTCTCTCACCAACCTACGTTGGTCTAATAAAAGAGATCGCGGCCCCCACCTTGTTTCTCTCTGCCCTGGGGCCACCACAGTAGAGCTGCCACACTGCCAGCTTTCCCGGGGAGCCATTCATCCTCTCTGACCCAAAGATTGTGGTGCCCTTTTGCTATCGGTGGTCCTGAAATGCTTTTCTCCTCCCCGTAGGTCCAGTACTGTGGGTTGCTGTTCCACCATGAAGGCTGGCCTCTCTGTGTCCATGAGAAGATCGTAGTCCAGCTGGCCTCCATCGACTGGCGAGCCTTAAAGCCTGGGGACTTCTACCTGCAGGTGGTGCCCTACCTAAAGAAGTTTCCCCGAATCGTACTGAAATGTTTGGCCAAGGACAGGCACAGTGTAGAGGAAGTTGTGGTCCCGGAGGTCTCCTACACCTCTATTTTCTCCCTGGCATGGTTGCAGTCCATCAATGGAGAGCGGATGGGTACAGCGCTGGAAAACTGTTTACTCACTTCCGATGGTAAAATATTCCGGGTTCCCTGGAGTAGCGTAATTCATCCTGAATTTATCGAGAAACCAAAACCCGCTGAAAATCATCTCACCTCTTGCACAATGACTGAGGAAGCTTCCCATTTGCACGTGCCAACGGAGCCTTCCAAACGTACCTCGCCTGCTGCTGGACCTGCAGCGTTGCAGGCGCACGAAGTGGCGCAAGGCCATTCGGTCCTTCACAGGACTACTCAGGAACCAACCGACACCCTTGTCAATGGGGCGAGCGCCGGGCCCCTGGCGGACTCTGAAAGTGACCCTGAAGGAGAGTACGTCGAGCTGATGGATGTTTCGCTGCAAAGGTTTGGGCCTCACACGGGCTCCTTGACGCAGTCGAAAGCCTTACATTCTAGACCGCGACCAAGAGCGGCTGTCTCTGCAGACAGACACAGGCGTGTTGCCCTCCGGGACGGTCACACGTGCTCAAAGAGTTTGGTTGGTTCAGCACTCACCCAAAAGCAGCACAGTCAGATGGACTCATCGTGGAGCTCTTATGCAGGGGACCATGGACACGCCATTCGTTTGGAAAACAACACGCGGGTGTGGCACGGTGAACCGTTGCCCAAAAGCCAGCTGGACGCCAAGGATCCGGGGAGTGTGGGGAATTCAGAGCCTACCTCTCACACAGCTGTGTCTGCAACCGGCAACGCAGAGAGTTCATCCTCCGTGGGGCCAGGAGCACACAGCGCACACATGATAGACTGGCGATATGCTCTGTGCAGTTACCACGACGCTTGTGCTGCGGACAGCGTGGCTGACAAGGCCCAGTTCACAGAGCCCCCTGGAAAACTGGAAGCTGAACATGAGGCGTGTGGGGCAGAAACTGACAATGAAGCCACCGAGCAGAGCCTGGAAGCACTTTTGAATAATGCTGCTACGAGGGAGGGAACGCAAAACCCCTCGAGAGCCAGTGGGGGTGGCGACAGCACCGGAGTGGATTTCGCTCCTGTCTCTGTGACCGGACATTCCACCCTGCCCAGCAGGCAGGACAGAGACTCTGGCATGCTGATTACAGCTGAATCCTCAAGCCTGCCAGAAGGCCGCCCCCATTCCTCAGGGCAGGCCCCCGAGAGAGTCGTAGCAATTGGGCACTGCGGTAACGCACTGGCAGAAGTCAGTCCGCCTGCCCTGTTGCACCCAGGGGAGGCCGAGCCATTAGGAGAGTCAGACAGGGGGGTCCGCGTGGAGGAAGTCTGCAAAGAGACAGATGAGCACACGTTCCCTGGGAAGAAGCAGGCTAGTCATCCGTCCTCCTCTGCTGTTGAAGGGGGCATGGAAGGATCCTTGTCACAGGACAAAGGACAAGAGGTCATGGACTGTACGCAACAGAAAGTAGAAGCTAAATTACTGCAAGCCACTGGGCCCATGGGGATCAGCCAGAGTGCAAACCAGCGACCTAGCAATGGTGCCGTGGTAGATGTCCACACAGAGAACGCCTGCCCAGTTGAAACCAAAAGGGACAGAGGGAAATGTGAGGAAACACAACACTGGGTGGAAATCCAGGGTCACAAAAGTGTCGGGGTGTCATCAACCCCAGTGGAAGGGGGTGGCCCGGCACACGTGGCAGGACAGAATTTGCTGGGCGGGGAGGAGAACAGTCAGAGTGCTCGTGAGCACGAGGGGTTGGACAGAAGGACCATCCCAAAGGCTGGGAATGACTCGGCAGCCTTGGGAGTTCTAGACACACCACAAGCCAAAGCCGAGGAACCGGCGGCCGCTCTGCTGCCCTCTCCCACTATGGATGGGGATACCACGAGGCCAACGCGGCAGGCTGAAAGGGGCGGCGAGGCCAAACCCCTGCCTCCCCCGCAGGAAGCAGCCAGCGGCGCGTCCCCTCCTTCAGGTAAACATGTCGCCTGGGTGTTTGAGAGAAGGGGCCGCAGAGCCTGCTTCTGACAGGCAGCGGCCTCCGGGAGACGAGAATCTAGCAAATATCAAACGCTGTTTAAACACGTCTGATACTTGTGCTTTGAGAGGAGCCTCTCTGGGGTGGAGAGAAGATTCTGGAAGCATTTAGCTTGGCATGAGGCACGCTGGCAGGAGAGGCATTGCTCCAGCCAGGCTCACGAGGCCTGGTGGCTGTGCGCCCAAGTGGGCAGAGCCGGGAGTGTTTTATCCGACGCAGCATGGCCGAGCTTTAAGCCCTTTCAGTTTACCAGGAAAGGGCTGGCAGGCCCCACACCCCAGGGGAGTGGCCACTTAATGAATATGCACCATGGAAATGTGTAAGAATAGAAGGGGTCTTGTTCTGACCCGTTCAGAACCGAAGGCTGGTACAGCAGCAAAGGCCACAGGAAAACCAACAGATTTTTCAGTCTGACCCGACCACCAGATTTAGACTCTGGTGAAGCAAGTCTGAGGCCTGGAAACCCCCAGTGAACTAGCCGGCTGTTAGTCTGAGCGGCCCGGCCACGTGCAGCCTTTCAGATGGGGACCGGAGGGCACAGTGCGGTTACGTGGCTTGACGCGAGCCACGGGGTGGTTCAATGGCTGATCTGGGGTCAGACCCCAGATTACCTGACGCCCAGGCTGGTGCACGAATGAAATCACCGTCCTTCCCGCCGAGGAAATTGGGCGCCCAGTTAAAATTGCAGGCTCTCACACAAGGTTGTGTGCCTGCTGGGATGTCAAAGGCTAATCGGTGAACCAGTTCCCTGGTGAGCATTAGCCTCACCAGCATGCTTATGAGGTAACCGGTTAAACAAAGGGCCAGGCTGGGGAGCAGCTCCCTCCCCACCCACTCGCAGTGCGCGGGCCGGAGTAACTCCCTGTCCGCCCAGGGACCAGTGGGGCTGGAGCAGCTACCCACCTGCCCACGTGGGGCCAGCCGTGGACGGAGCAGCTCCCTACTGGGCGGGGCTGGCTGGGGCCCGAG